TGAATTAGCCCATGAGAGATAAATTATTTGTGTGCAGAAAACTTAAATCATCTTGGCTCCTGCCCCTAGAACTTCTCTCCATCCTTCTCTCCTGAATGATACCATGAGCAAACTTCTCTCACTGCCAAAATGCAAACACCCTGCTCACATCTTCCTACTCTGCTTTTTTAACTCTCCTTACAAATCTCATGTCAATCTTTCACCAAGGCTGCATTCAGGTGCCATGCTACACTCATGGCAAGCCTTTTAGTTCCTAAACAGTTCACTCATGGCAAGCCTTTTAGTTCCTAAACAGTTCAAACATACTCCACTTGACTACTCTGCAGTTCTCAAAAACACAGCAATTCTTTTATAAAGTTGGGCTTACTTCGAGAAACACATACATGCAACATACATGGATTCCCATATGATTTTTAGATTGCAAAATAACATATCCTCACTGTATACTCTCAACACACAATTCTCCTTCCTGGACTCCTTAGTCTTAGTTGACAAATTTACCTTTCTGCACTATCCTTTCCCTTCTTTCCAGAACTAAACCAGAAATTGCTAAACCGAACATTTCATAACCACTTTTCTAGTTAAAAGCAAAACCACCAACAAAAAACCTCACAAAAAACACAAACAAAAAAATAAAACACCAAAACCCACCACAAAACCCCAACCTATAATACTGATCAATAAAAGCTAAATTTTTATGTCTTTTGTGAGTTACGTTTTGTTACACGTTACACATCAGAACTTTGCCCTAAATGAAATGCTAACACTTTGGTGGATGCAGATCTTGTACTGCACATCAACTCCACAAAAAGTACTATCAGTTTGTGACAGAAGGTTCAAGCTCCATCTTTCCCCCTTTGTAATTCTTACTAATTCCTTTGTTTTAAGTCCAGTATTCTCACCTCTCTTCTGTCCAGAGATTCACCTTCTGCTGTGCAGTCTGAGCAGTGTAGGAGAGTCTGTCACTGCCATGCTGGTGCTGTCGTTCTGGAGAGAGCTGCTGCCTCAGCAGCTCTAACTCACGTTCGTACATCAGCCGCTGCTCCTCAAGAGCACTGCGCTTCTCTTCCAGGTACTGCTTCTCCAAGATCTGGACCACATTTTGTACTGGGTCTAAAGGGAAGGAAAAAAGGATAAAAAAATCCAGAAATGTGAGAAAATGGCATTTCAGTGTTACAGAGCACTCGTCATTTAGCTGGTAACAGCAATCAACATAGCCCAGAGTCTTTGCAAACACAAGATGGCCAAAATAATAAAAATTGCATTAAATAGATAAAGCCAAACAAGAAATAAAAAAAGACCAAATGGCATGCAAAGAGGCTAAAACAATGGTTAAGTCCCTCACTTAAAAGAGTGTTGTGAAGTTATAATGCATTCCAGAATCCCAGTAGGAAAAAAATAATAGAAGGAAAAGGAAACAAGTTAATAAGAAAACAAAGTAAAACACGAGGGAAGATGATGTTAACCAGAGAAGGAAACAACTTAAGGAAGTAAAAAGGAATTTACTTTCTCCATTTTGGCAGAGAATGAAACACATTGAGAGCTGCAGATGAAAACTGAGACAAACATTGTCTGGCTGGTCACGCATCGCACTGCACTAATGTGCTGCACAGCACTGAAGCAGACAAAGTACAGCCCAGAGGGGACTTCTGCTCTCAGCTTTACAAACCACATTTCAGCTCAGTATCAACCAGTGCAGATATATATTTTTTAATACACACACATATACATATATGTACATCTGCTTCATGTATACATATCTGAAAACTCAAATGCAGAAAAAAGGTGGCTTGCAAGAGGACCAATGTACATGACTGAGTGGCAACAAACCACTTAACAGACTGCTGATTCTGTATACCACAAGAGGAAGGGAGAGGAGTTCCAAAGCTGAAGTGGTGGAGAAGCAATACTGCAGCTCTAGGACATGCTAGGATTTTCAAATGCAAAGAACTTCAGCTATAAAATAACTGTTTATGATATCTCTTCCATTTCATCAATATATTAAAACAAAACAAAAGAAAACAAAAAGAGCGAGCAGCTATAACTTTTAAGGATGTAAGTCTGGCACTAAGGAAGGAGAAAAAAATAACCTATATTTAAATACACTGCCCAATTTGGAACTAGAGGTATGTTGCTCAAAAAAGCACACAAACCAAAACAACATGTCTGTGTGATTTAGCATGAACCATTTTGCTTTCACTTCTTGCAAGCACTTCTGCAAGTTACTCCTATGGCCATAGCCTCAGCCATGGAAGAAATCACTGGCTTCACACAAAGGCATCATAAAATACTACCACAATGGTCATTACAAAGCACAAAGTTAAAAATCAGTCAGTACAAATAGCAACCAAATAGCAAACCAGTGATGCATGAAAGTGTCTTAAAATAACTAGAAATATTATTTTTTTAGTACATGACATTCTCAGAAAGACAGTTAGCTATTATTAGCTTTTAAACAGACAGTACAACAAAAAACCCTGACTGAACCAAGTTCTAATACTCAGGACTATAAACCAAGTTATTAATGTTGATCTGCATCACCGTTATCCTCCTAAGTACTCCAGACAATGCCAGAATTACCTTTGTGCATAGGTTTTACTGCATAATCCCCCAAACGGTTTTAGCTATGTTTAAAAACGTTTGAGAATCAGGTATTATGCAGAAGATAGAGAAGGGACATGGAAGAAATTAAAAGCCCTCTATTGTGTTTGCAAACACAGGAAATGAAGCTAAGGCTGACTCATTAAGATGAGACTTTCCTAAACTGCTCAAAGAACAACAATGAGTTCAAGCAGCAGATTTCCCTAATAAAATTGTATTTTCAACCACCTAGACTTACAGGATCACAAGCACCACAGGAGAAAATCATACCATGAAAAATACTTGGAACAACAATACTTGCAAGAACCTAGTCTTAAACTTCCCAATTTCAACATAATCCTCTGCTGCTTGGGAAAAAAATAAATAAAGAAAAGGTGGGTTATGCATGTTTTGTAATGCAGAAGATAAATTCACACTTCTAGAAAACTCTAACTTTTTAAAGAGTTTATACAGAAAACCCTACACCTGTCATAGGGAAAAGCAAAACATGGTGTCAAATATTAACTACCTAGGTAGAATGTGAAGAAATATAGTTTTTCACAATTCAAAAGAACTACAGTAGTGTTTAAGTTAAATTTAAACATCATGTTCCACAATTTTGGAGTCCTCATGCAAAGTCAAAGAAATGAAGGAAGATTCTACTCAGTGCCTACCAAATTCCATACAGTGTTAAAAGTCCCAAGTCCCAATCCTTTACATATTTATGTGACAAGAGTTCAATGACCCTAAAAAACAAACATTCATATGCAGCTAATCCTCTGCAAAATCACAGAATACTAACACTGAACCATAAGGATGTATTTTCTTCATAGAATGAACACGATTTATTACCTTGCTACAATCTCACTTAGTTCACGTCTGGAGTCTGCTAATCCAGTAACAACAAAGCTGAATTCCTTAGGATTTCATGTAAAAGCAAGCTAGAAGAGGGTTATGACACAGGCTGCTTTGCTAAGTTTCAGCAAAATCCTCTCCCTGAGCTGTAACAAGTTTTGTTTGCTCAAATGAGAAGCTGCCTAACCTAATCACACTGTTTATTTAACCACTGCACAGTATACAAGAATAAAGTAAACTTCTTTGATGCATTTTGTGTTTGACCAGCATCAAAAATTGCCAGTACAAAGCTGATCTGACAGAATCCCACAAAGAAAGTTAACATGCTGAAGGAAGGAAAGAATCTGATGTTTTCTTTACAGCTGTTTTCAAAGTTACACATTTTCCTCAGAGGTTCTTTGGAGCAGGATGGAGTCAGTTACACTGTTGTACTGGTTACATGCCATAAAAACAAACGTGTTTGCCCCCTGGAGAAGCACAGCTATTTATTTAAAGAGGGCTACAGTTCTCAAACAGATCAAGGGGGGAAAAAAAACAAACCAAAAAAACAAAACAAAGAAAAACCAAGCCCTCTTGCTTTGGGCTATATCTATACATACATGCCTACAAAATAATTATCTAATCAAATTTTTAAAATGCCCCTTTATTCCCCCCTTAGGGTTTCTCCAGCAAATATGGATAATAGAATTAACTGCTTTCAGTTATTTTGTTATTTCTTCTTCCTCACCTAAGGAAGAATAAATAAATGGTACTGTAAGAAAGCTGCTCTACTTCTTACACAATAAACTCAAAGCCTGTCAGAAAAAAAAAGGTATTTTAGCTATACGATTTAGAAAAGCAGAAGCTAGCAGCACTATCTAACTTCAAATCAAAGGACTAGGCTATAATCCTCACAGTCACTTGTTCTGTCAGCGTTTTATTATCATTTACCACTCCAAGTTAGGTAAGCAACACCTATGTGGGAGTAAGCAGCAGAAGCAGAGTAACTGGGATATGACACCTCTGAAACTGTGCAACATATAAGACTGAAACATTTACTGTGCATTAGGGAGGACAGAGCTTTAACAGAACAGCAATGTCTGTACTGTTCTTGAGCAAGAAAGCAACAGACCAAGACCAGAACTGGCCTGGACCACAGTCAGAAAAGCCTACTGAACTAAAATGTAAGGACACTTGGAATATTGTGAAGAATTGTTTCAATCAGCTAGATAATAACACATGAAAACCAAAAAATGTGACCCCCTGTTCAAAGAACACTGATTCATTGTAGACTGCTACAGTTCAGTCAAATCCCTGGTTAGTAGCAAGCAGATCAAGCATCAATTAATTGGACCACAGTCAGAAAAGCCTACTGAACTAAAATGTAAGGACACTTGGAATATTGTGAAGAATTGTTTCAATCAGCTAGATAATAACACATGAAAACCAAAAAATGTGACCCCCTGTTCAAAGAACACTGATTCATTGTAGACTGCTACAGTTCAGTCAAATCCCTGGTTAGTAGCAAGCAGATCAAGCATCAATTAATCAGACTTCTGAACACTGATTCATTGTAGACTGCTACAATTCAGTCAAATCCCTGGTTAGTAGCGAGCAGATCAAGCATCAATTAAAGCTTTCAGACTTCTCCAGCAGCCTCATGCACGAGCCAATCAAGTTCAAAACCTTTGTCCCAGTTTTGGCACAGATATGGGATGGTTTGAGGCCTTAAAACAGGCAACAGAATCTTCACGAGGGATGACAACCCTGAAGACCACCAGGATGGCAGATTCATCTGAAATTCGTCTCCTGGTATGAGTGAACCATAATGAAAATATCTCTGTTATCAAATAGCAATTTCACATCAATTTAAGTGACCTGACCCTGTAACTCACTCACACAAGCCATCCCATTTAAAATAAAACCGTAAAAATCCTGCAAACTATTGCTACAACATTGAGCATATGAAACCATCATGTTGTACTCAGCAGCAAAACAAAGCTAAAGAATAAGAGGAGACAAAGAAAAAGTAAATATTGTACTTCAACAAGTAAACTGCAGCAAACAAGGGAAATTCTGTGAAGATAGGGAGAAAGGAAAACAGAAAACAATGAAACACTATCTACAGTGTCTTCTTGGTCAGTGACCAAAACCCAAGGTATTTGCCTCTCAAATTCTGAGTATTAAAATGCCTGTACAAAGCATACAGTAGTTTACCAAGTTTTCTAGCATTTCTTCATGTTGTATTGTATCAGATGATGTATGATGTATAGCATACAGTACCAAGTTTTCTAGCATTTCTTCATGCTGCATTGTATCAGATGATGTATGACTTGCCTTCTGGAAATCATGAAAAAAATATATTGTTTTATATATACTCTGTTTTATTGTGTTGTCCCCAAAAAGCACCACAATTTGTTTTAACAAAGATGAAATGAAATATTGAGAGTGATGAAGCCCTACAAACCATGCTAGCTGACTACCAAGTTTTCTAGCATTTCTTCATGCTGCATTGTATCAGATGATGTATGACTTGCCTTCTGGAAATCATGAAAAAAATATATTGTTTTATATATACTCTGTTTTATTGTGTTGTCCCCAAAAAGCACCACAATTTGTTTTAACAAAGATGAAATGAAATATTGAGAGTGATGAAGCCCTACAAACCATGCTAGCTGACATCTCACTGGGTTTTTTTCAGTGTTTTTTTCAACTAAGGTTAAAATGGTGTTGGTAACATTTGATACAAAAGAAAGGCTGAAACTAACTGAGCTGTATCTGGTGCAGCCTTTTGCTGCAATAACTTGCAAAACCAAGAGCTCAATAAGGCTTGGATGATGATTTGACAGGTATGTGATTACAACTCAGCTGCACTATAAAGGAGAGCAGAGGTACAGACAGAATTGTGTGTAAGGGTACAAACCAACTACTAATTTGTGCACGTGTATTTATACTCAGGAGCACATATTCTTTTATATATATATATATGTATGCTTAATTTATATACATGCACACACCTAACATGGTTTATGTAAAATGTCTTATCCTGAGACCTTGTTCCATGCTCCAAAGGCCCCCGGAACAAGTATAGCACTTGTTTTACCCAGAAATTGAGTTCCATGCTGAATTTGTTAAGACAATCCAAATGAAGACTTTAATCTGGAAATTGAGTTCCATGCTGAATTTGTTAACACAATCCAAATGAAGACTTTTATCTGACCTTACCATTACTATTCAGTGTTTTCATAATAACTTCCATTTGTGCAAACTCGTAGTTGTAGTCTGGTTCTGAAGAAGCTTCACTAGCTGCATCCAGATCATGCTCCCCTAACGAAGTTTCTTTCTCAAGGTCTTTCAGCCAATCTCGACGTTTCCTCTTTGGTAAATTGATTCTGTGTAAAATTCAATTTATAAAAAAGTTTATGTGGAACAGTGGAAGGAAAAAGAAATAGGCTGACTGTAAAGAGGCTGGAATGTAAATATCAACTATTACCTAAAGAAGTGGTTGTTTCCCCATAATATTCTATCTCCATGCCATAACTGAGTGACAGAACATACCAGTGTACCATTTACACAGGATCTGAAAGAAGAAAACACAACTTCAGTGAAATCCTAAATACAAAAGATTGAAGAGCTACTGTTAGTCCCACCTACAGACAGTCATTTGTATCACAAGATGCACAAATCTGCCAGGTTCTCATTAAAGGATCAATGGGAAAATTACTAGTCTGATTTCTACTGTCGGAATTAAATACAAAGCACCTTTAGTTTTGGCTGGCACAACTCTTCAGTAAACATACAAACAAGATTGCTTTTGATTGCAAAGTTTTCTTTAAATGCCATTTTGTAAACTGGCTCACTGCCTGTTTCTTATAAACAGTCTGTAAACTTGAATGCATGCAAATCCTACTGATAAAGCTCTCCAACATATAACTTAGTCAACACAGGGTTGTAAAACATGCTGTTAACATATTTGGCATTCAAGCATAAGAAAAGATTCTCAGATCCAAGTTTCATTCTTTCAGCAAATGGAGTCTCTATTATTAACATGGGTCTATTTTTGTGAACATCTGGTACACTGCTATATTTCTTTGTAGGTTTCTTTGTATTTAAGTTTGAATCACAAAACAGGAAAAATTGAGCTGTTGAACTTTTGCATATGTGAGTCACAAAGCAGAGCATTTGAAAGGGAAAAAAACTTAAGTAAAATGAAAAAAGCCTTTTCAGATGCAGTGTTCTCATTTCAGCTGTCTCAAGTCAGTCAACACAAACATGTAGGCATTTCATTTTAACTGAGATTTTTATGTAGCTTTTTTCAATGAAATTCTGGCAATGAGCTTTCTGTTGACATTAATACCTTAAGAATAGTTACTTAAACATTGTGGATCAGGTATGAGTAAAATAAAATATGGTTTTTTGCACCACCATGTGCCTTTGTTCTTGCCAGTCAAAATGACTGATTTCCAGTGAGGTAACACTATCACTGCGAGTCTTAATCCCATCTGTTTGAAATTTTGTGCTGTGGGCTGCAGAAGTAAAATACAAATGTGTTTTACTAAAGGCAGAATGAAAGAGACTAAAGACAGAAAGAAAGAGATCGGATTTTTTTAAAAGGTGTCTTTCAAACTTTGGTTTCTCATTGCGATAATAATCTGCACATCATTTAGATACCCAAATTTCAGACAAGCAGCATGACTATTAACGATGACAAAGGTACTGCTTATCAAACATCATTGGAGCTGAAGTGACAAAGACACATACTATTCCACCCAAGAAGCCACAGTGCCCCCTGAATGAAAAGTAATTAAAGCACAGAAGTAAAAAAAAAAACGTGAAATGTGACTCCACACTACATATTAACTAGACACAACAGTAGTTAGAGATTTAGAAAATAATTCAAATCTTTAAAACACATTTTACTCACAAAATATTGAGCTTTACAACAGGAACTAGGCACAATTTATCCTTCCCCAACAAGACACAGCCTACTACGCTGTCACGCAGGTCAGGATAGCCAGCAGCATCTCAGTGATTTTGTTACCACCCAAGATACAGCCAAGCAATGGTCCCTCACTTCTACCAAACATCCCCTTAGGATGGTTTATTCTGAGTCAAACCACTGATAGCCTGTCGCACTGTAGAGTGGGTGGGTGGGCGTGTATGTGTGTGGGGAAATCTTAGTTTTCATCACTGAATTTCACTTCTAAGTATCTGTTTAAGTCAACTCTATTGAAGCTACATACTGGTCAGACTGTAAGATACTTTTGTCTATGTAAAATAAAAATGCATGAAAGTTATCTTCTGGCAAAGAGAAGCAAACACCTCAATGGAAACTGCTGCTGATCTTGCTTACCTTGCATTTTCTTTTGGTGTGAGTGTAACTTCTCCATCCAAAGCAATATCAATCTCACAGTGTTCTGGTTGGATTCCTATACCAAAGAGCTGTATATCTTGAGAGGTATCTGCACCAACTCTTGTGTGATCCTAGAAAATAAGCTGTTACTAAGAGACAAGCAAATTACCACTGCTGGTATAACTAAGAAAATATTAGCTAAAGCACTGAGACTGCACAGTCTGCTGCTTTCCTTTGCTAAGCACTTCTGTAGAGCAGAAAAAGTGACACAGCAGATCTGAAGAATCTAACTGTCACACACAAGCTGTTGTTCTGCTCTGCACTTCATCTTCTTACAGTTTTAGATACAGCAAAATAAAGCAGTTGACACACATATTCTGATTTAAAAATATTCTCACACTATGCCTGCATAGAAGCAGTAACTGCAAAAATAATGAAGAAAACCAGTCATGTCATATAGGTATATTTAAGAGGACAGCATGGATAATAAAATAAGGTGCAGAATTGTCTGCTTTTCAGAAAACAGCTACACAGCAACTCAACTAAACATACTATTCTCTACATAATTTCAGAGCATATTTTATATACTGCTGAAATAGTTAATTTTGTTGGTGTTGAGAAATCATGCTCTATTTGCTACTATTCAAATACAGAAGCACTGTCTCAGACATTAAAGCAGAAAGGTAGCTATAAAAATAGACAGGATAGTATTTCATATATTATTGACAAGAAGCTCACATTTCCTTGTAAACTTGTTATGTTTGTATTTGACACTACTTCACTCTGGCATGAGACTGTGCTAAACAGAATATGGTATGAAAGCTCATGATACTAGGAAAATATATTTCTGTAAATTTTTAACAGCACATTTTTAACCCCCTTTCTCATAAGATTTTCTGTCTCTGAAGACTGTTTAACCCTTACTGATTACTACTAAACATCACGTCTTTATGATTAGCTCACTGAATATTCAAAGCAATCCTCAACTCCCTGTCAAAAAGAAGCATCTAACATGAGGCTCTTGCTTCAAGTTCAGGCCAGATGGCAATTCTATGCCCATTCTGTCTGGAAAAGTTAGAACTGACCCCAACACTGGCACAAACTGCACACTTCTCCCACTGCTGGCAATCAGAAGATCAGTTAGGAAAACAGTGAAGCTGAACTGCAAAGGGAGAACAAAAGCCTGAACAGTAGGAGGAGGCCTATCCTATTTTGCTGCGACTAGTCTTAAAAATCTACATACACTCTGAGTAACAAATTGAGCCAGAAATTCAAACTGAGTGTCCTTTCATTCTGTGTAAACACCCTTTTCACATTCTTACCTTTAAATAGTAAACCAAAAGCTCATTGAGCGCAGGATCAGCATTCAGGTTCACCAGATAACACAACAGTAGGAGGAGGCCTATCCTATTTTGCTGCGACTAGTCTTAAAAATCTACATACACTCTGAGTAACAAATTGAGCCAGAAATTCAAACTGAGTGTCCTTTCATTCTGTGTAAACACCCTTTTCACATTCTTACCTTTAAATAGTAAACCAAAAGCTCATTGAGCGCAGGATCAGCATTCAGGTTCACCAGATAACACTTGTCATCCCTAAATAGTAAACCAAAAGCTCATTGAGTGCAGGGTCAGCATTCAGGTTCACCAGATAACATTTGTCATCCCCAACCTTGATACCTGAAGACTCCAGGGAAATTCCCATGCTTTCCAGCTGTCTTTGCCTCTCCTGCAAGCACAAAAATAGGTTAATCTTGCCTGCTGCAATATGGAGAGACAGGTACAGAGCAAGTAAAGCTGAAGATGCACATGCTGAGTATGCACCTTTCTTAGTTCCTTCAAGAGAAACACATCCAAGATCCCACTAATCTTATAAATAAATAAGCTGCCTAAACATAGTTTGATGCTTTATTTTAAAATCAAATATTAGCTTTTATCACTGATACCATGACACAGCCAGATTTATTCTAATGAAATTTAGACTTAAAAAACCAAAACCCAACAAACAAAAAAATCCACTTCAAAATCAGAAACAAGGTGAAAAGACAAAAATTCAGAGGAACTTGAAATAGCTGGTGGGGAAAACAGCACAGTCCTCTAAAGCTCATGAAATTCAGCTGACTTGCACTATATGAGTATCCAGCTTTCCTGCTCAAAATGTCTGAAATACCTGTGCAATTTCTTCTGTTTTCCTCAGCTTTTCTTCCCAGGTGACTGTTAGTTCTTTTATTAGTTTTTCAGATTCTTCCAATTTTTCCTTCAGTTCTGGTGCCTTCATGGCCTAAAAGACAGAAATTAGCAAAACCCCTCAGCTACTCTTCCCACTGCAACATCTGCTTGCACAAGGAAACTGAACACAGCAGCATAACATCAAATGCAACAAGTGTAGATTTCTACTATATCCCCAGGTTTTTCATGGTAGAAGATGAGAAACAGGTCACTTGTGAAGGAAGAGGACAGAAACAACCTATAATGGGACCAGATCTGAAATAGCTGGAGATGGAAATAGCTCCAGAGGCTAATGGAATGAGCAAAAATCTTTGGAACCGGTCACTCAAACTTCAGTGTCTGTATAAATACATGCATTTAAAAAAATTTAAGTCTTAGCTCTCTGAAGTTCAACTGCAAAGTCTTTCTTTCAACCATAGTTTCAAATACAAATTCCTCTTGACATTTTTAGCCTTCCATTCTATCTTGGGTTTGTAAGTGTTCCTAGAGTTGCATTAAAGTTTTCAGACTGACCCTGTTGATCACCTTTGAGGGAAGGCATGATCTGGAGCTAACACAGCCTTCTCATTTCACAGCATGAAACTTGAATACATCCAGTGCCAAGTAACAGTTCAATAGGCTGGCCTAAAACTCCATATACCTGTTTTTTTAACAGAAGGTGGAAGAGAAAACACTTAAAAAAATAATTACTAAGACTTTGGACATGTTCCTACTGATTGTGTTCAGCTGCAGCCTGCCAACATAATTACCAACATGCTATAATAATATTTTCCAATTTAAAATAAGGGATTAGAACATAATTTTGCTTATTAAAAAAGTGAATGGCTCCTTTTTCTTAAAGCAGATTTCTCCATTTCAGCCTATAACGAACCATTCATACTAGGAACACTATTGCTTAAATGAACATGAAATTTAAACACCACAGAAATTTACCTTCAGACACACTTTTGTTCTTTTTCACCAGTAATTAGTGTCTTGTCTGAAAAGATCAAAAATATTTTCCTAGCTGCTAAGTGCCTACTTTCTCCAGATATCACCAGCAAACTATCCTAATCCTGATACTTTACTCTTCATTTAAAAGTATAAGATAAGCATCAATTACCATGTTAATTAAGGTGGTGAAGCAAACTGTTGATGGTTTTCAGTGTTGCATTTTTGACAATTTTTTAATAGATTTTCACAAATATCAGAGAGAAATGTCCCACATATATTGTGGTCCAATACCAGATTTATGATATTTTACATTTTTCCATTTGACATCATATATAGTCCACCAAGGCAAAAAAAATAATTCTGCTAATAAGTCTACACAATGAAGTTGTGCTCTAGCTCTTACATGTACTGCATCAATTATTGCTTGACCTCAAGAAGTTCCTCAGGAATTGCCTGGTCTGACAAGAGTCAGCATCAGTACAATGCTGTCCTCATTTAAAAGTTAATAAAAATAAGCACACTATGTGGGTTTCAGAAAACAAGGTTAATTATTTTAAAAAAGAAATAAAGAAAACAGAACAGGTGCAAGACTTCCTTTCCACATTTTCTAAGAAAGCTAATCTTCCAGACAGAGGTTGACAGGGGAAACTCAGTTTATATTGTAGTGTGAATAATGCTACCTCAGCTTGTGAGAGCTGTTCTTTCAGTTTTTCAACTTCTTCACGTAATTCTCTGATGACTCTAGCATTTGGATCTTCATTCACCACAGCATGATTAACTATCCTTTTGGCTCTGTCTGCATATCTCAGAGTAGAGAGTGTTTCTTCATAGTTGTCTGCTGCTGGACTAATTGTGGCTATCATGGCAGTTTGGCTGTTTCCTCCCAAGTTGTCCTGTAGTGCAGTCACAGAAAGTTTGAGGGTTAAAAATTGTTCTGAGACTATACAATGTCTTTACAAAAAGACTTGAAATACTTAGAACTTACTACTTAGGCAATGAAAGGTACTCTGGATATAAACTAATTGGTAGGTTCCATAAACATTTCCAGGCACCTCTATCAGGTTTGATTCCATTACAACTGAAAACAGTCAAAGAGGATTTTACATAGAATTAACACAAGACGCACTTAGCTGTCCATATTTACTTGGAATAACTTTTAGCTATGGGAGTTCCTTCACTCATTTCTTCAAAAAGAGATGAGAGGTCCATGTACACAGAGGTATGCCATGATGATCCTACAAACTAATTATCTGACATCTTGTGAACATGATGAGCATAAAATATTAATTACCTTGAGAAGCCAAGTGAGTACAGAGTCTCTGTAAGGCACAAACTTGTTTTTCCCCTTCCCTGCTGCTTGGTCAGCAAGTGATGATATAACCAAGCCCAGCGTTGAAAGTGATCTATAAATGCAAAACAGTGGAACAGCTGTAACACAAATTCTTAATGTAGATTTAATAAAACACAGGAAAAGGGATTGCTCTGCAGAACTTCACATCCAACAACATCCCTGCTCCAAACAAGGCAATGTATTCATTTAAAGTTACATATTTAGATTTAAAAAATGGGTATCTACAATGTTTCATCTCGTTTGGCACTAAGACCATGTTCTAGAAAGACTGAGATAATGCTGAAATATTTAAAATAATTTGGGAAGTGTAAAATAGACTGCTTCAGTATATGGAGAATCACTGCCTTTGGTTAGACATTTACCTTTTCTCAGAGGATAAAAACCTTTCTGTTTGGACACTGTCTCAGGACACTGTTACGAGTCAGTGTTGGCAGTGCAGCAAGAATCCTGTCTCTAGGAACAATGCTTTAAGAACACTGACTCAAATACAGACCAGCACTGAACAATTCACTAGCCATCAGGAGGCATCCTCAGAACAAACCAGCTACAGCCCTGGAGAACTAGTCTGCCTAGTGACCCAGTAACCAGGCAGCCATCACACATCAAGGGAAGGCTGCTCATCAGGAGAGACTGACTAGAAGGCCCCTTGACAAATGGGTTGACTTATAATTGAGCCTCACTACCTTCTTGTAGGGGTATAGACCAAACAATCTTCCAGTTACAAGAGTGATGCACAAGCATGAAAGAGAACCACCCAACTTGCTTAGCAGACAGTCGCATCCCAAACAACGCTCTAGAATCGTGAAGAAAATAGCTAACTCATTCATTTTGGTACATGTACCACTTCTATCAACAGGGGTAACTGTATTAGCAATCCATGCAAAGCATATGTGCATTATATTATCCAATTCTTATAGAACCCTGTGTAAATCTGAAGTGACATCAGGGCTCTTGGGGTGAGTATGTTTCAGAAAATGAGCGGTTGAGGAGCCTGAGAACATTAAACAGATGCCTAAAGGGTTTTAAAGCAGACACTGCAGAAGCCCAAGAGTGTACTGGTCTGTCATACTCATGCTCAAATATCCAGCTACTCTCTATAACTACATCAAGGAAAAAACTTCTGCAGTGTCATAATTAGATAGTCAAATAAATCCTTAATTGTACTGTTCCCCTCCATCCTCTTGTGTTTTCCTTTCAAAGAAGCAATACTATTTTGGTTGATAGGCAGCATTTGCATAATATTTGTAACAGAGCTTTAATGCTGTTAGAAACTGACAGTGGTTCAGAAATAACACTTAGAAAATGACAGAAATGTTACAGAAGAATATTTCAAGGAAGATATCCAAGGGTGAGGCAACAAGAACCATTACATGTGTCACAAAAGATGTCCCACATAGCACAAAGTGGTACAGAGGTGGCATTGACCTGAGTGCAAAATTAAAAGAAATATAAATTTAAGGAAAGGCTAAGCAATCTGACCTCCCAAGAGAGCACTCTATTCTGCAGATTTGTCTAGAGGATAACTTTCCAATTTGCATCTAAAAAATTCACAGCAAAAATAGACAGTTTCAGTTTTATGACCTGCAGAAAAGCCTAATAACTTCTGAAAGCTTGTGGGGGAAGGATGGGGAAACGAGAATTGGTTCTTGCCTCCAGCCTCTGGTCTCCACAGAGATGACAGCATGCTAAACATGCAAGAGCAAACAGTAGGATAGCAACCTCCTCCAGCACAACCAGAACACTCCCAATGGAGTCCACCTTCAAGGAGCATAAAGTTAAAAAAACACCCTGGACTATTTTCCTCTGATTCCTCCTTTCCTCTTTAAATGAGGGGAAATGTGAAAACCAAAGCCAAACCCTGAGGGAGGATGAAGAAATGGGCAGTCAGGAGGCAAATAGGAAGAACAGGGATTCAGCAAGGCCTATGATTGAAAACTGTTTCACAACAGGGCTGTAACAACAATTTGAGTTATAGGCACTGCATTTTAATGATCAGGAAATTACAAGCTAGAGTTTATTAACACAGGATTCAAAAAATGTGATAATATTACTGCTCCTTGTAAATGTTCATCTTATTTTAAGACTGTTAACATCTGCAATAAAAGGCAAACTGGAATCATTTATGTGCTCTGCTTGAGATTTCATAATACAAAGCTTACTACTTTAAGGAAAGTAGCAAAAGAAATGGCTGCCCAACAAAGTAATTACAGGACTCTCTGCTTCATGCTAAATGATGCATCAGAGATCTGTCATTATTTTGATCCTATCTCACGCTACTTATACAATGAATCAACCAGAGGGCCTAAGCCCACAGTGCACAGCAGACTGGGACAGTTCAGATGCAGCAGAATGGACTTACATGATGCAAGAGTACAGGAAAGTGCCATTTCTGCACATTTTCTGTTCTCCTTGTGCCTATTCCTCAGACATGACCAGGCTGTCCTTGCTAGCAGACAGTGGGAAGCTTGCACACTCCCACCACTGGCCTGAGTCAGCGGCATCCGGAGGGAAGTGGAGCTCCCTTGCCCCAGGGGAACAACTCTGTCCCTAAATGACACCCATTCAAGCTACTTCTGCACAACTTACAACCAAATTCTTCAATGAGCAGAATCCACTTTTCTATTAGTTAACTCTGAATACAAAATTCTCCCTCAAATCAGCTTGGAGCCAGACCTGTCCCAACCCATTCCTTCCCCCGCCTACACCTTAAAGACTTCTTTCTGTGTTCTCAAGTTAAAATGACAACAGCTGTGATTTTACTCATCAGAGTTAAAATTGCAGACTGCTCACAGAAAGTACTTTTTTGTAGCCACTAATTGACTGTTTATTCTGCTTCCTCCTACTATTGTGTTCTAGAAATTCTTTGACTACACCACAAAGCGTTGTTAAGCACCTCCTTTTCCACACTGGGTATGGGAACTAGCACATCCTGGGGAAGAACAAGCATATCAAACCTTCCTATGAGGTATGACAAGTCTCCTGAAAACCTCCTTTACCAAGGCAACTCTGCATGAGCTCTGAGAAAAAACAGAAGTAATCTGTATTACAGCTTCATGAAGATGCTGACACAACACTCCATTGTTTCTGTAAGTGGGAGCAATCCATTGCCTCCCCTCTGCAACATGCTGTCCACAAGACAGGAAAGAGAGTTTTCAACAGGATAAGTTGTGAGACCAAGGTGCCATCTACCACAGCTCTAGCCAGTTTTCATCAGAAACAAATGGACACCTAGAAACACTGGCTCAGTGTCACACTATTCAGCTTTCGTATGCACAGCTGAGTGTAAATTCTCCCTGCCTTGTAAACAAACAGGTACATTATGTCCACATTCTACTTCGAGGCAATAAAACATAGCACAGGCAGCAAAGTTACTTGCCAGCAGCTCCATTTTTTATCTCATTAAACATAACATGTGCTACGAATACGTTACTGCTTTTCCATAAAAGCAAAGCAATAAGAAAAGGAGCTGACCTAGTAAGGTATATGGTTTTAGTATACTGTACCATCCCAGAAAATATTACTGACTTTCCCTGATAAGTAAGGTGCATCACACCCTAAAGAGAATTGCACACAGTGTTCCCCAAAGAACTAGTCTAATAAAACACGTACATCAATTCTGAGGCTTAAAAATGTCAGACTTCATTAAAGCCACAAATGCAAGAAGCTAACAGAAGACAGCAAACACAGCACTAAGAATTCTCCTTTGCCTGTCAGTTCCAAAAGAGATTTCAACTAGAGAATGCTTAATAAATGGACTAAGTAATACAGATTTATACCATTTAAGAATTTAATTGAATGGAAAATATACAGCTGTGCAGTTTTCTTTTTAAAATACCTTTCACATAAAAGTTTGGTGCTTTTAAGTCTTATATTGTCAAAGAGGTTTGGAATGGGCAAAACAACTCTCCTCTACTGCACTGAAACCATAACAGTTCAACCCTGAATAAATATCCTAATAGAAAAAAAAGGAAGTCTTTCTGTATCTATAGCTACACATGCAATTTATTAATAGCTGTTGGGAGAGTTTGCATCTGAAGTCTTTCCCAAGAGTTAGAAAGAAACATTTAATTTCACCTTTGTTCATGCAAAATACAAATAGAGTTTCTAGTAAAACCAATCTGAATTCGAGCAGTAACCTGTGTGGTAAGGTTACAATATTTGCCATAAGGCAAACAGAGCCACATCATTTTATTTCACAGGGACTACACTGGTGTGGTTACCAATATGATGGCTTAAACACAAAGTAGATCAGAAATTAAGCTAGAAAGAACAAACATGTTCAAACTCACTGTAACTATAAATGCTGTTCATACACAATTTGTGCCATCATTGTTAACTTAAAATACCAAAACATTTTGTAACAATTTAAATTGAAAAGCAGTAGCTTTTAATGTAACAGTTAGACTCTTTCTTCCCCAGAAAATTGGTATATTTAAGACAGAGGTAATAGTGTGCTAAATTCTTGCTTTTGCACAGTAACACAGTAATTACAGTTTAAAAAGTGCTCTGAAACTTGTCATTGCTTGAGCACAAATGCCCGAGGCAATGCTAAACCAACACAGCTTCATTCTGATTTGATTTTGTTAAACTGTGCATTATACCCTTACATATTTTAACTCATGTTGGAACAAAGCCATTCAACTCTGCAACTTTGCATTCTTCCTTGCGCAGATGATGAGACAAACACATGAGCCTGGGGACAGGGTGTATAAATGAATCACAAAAGGTATATGCTTAATTAAAGAGCAGTGCTGTCACTTTTTCCAGATAAAATTCATATAGCACTCATCTGAGTCAAGTATGAATCAGGATTCCTATGCCAGTGTCAGGAAACACATGGTGCTCAGCAGAGAGCAGCTGAGAAAGCCATACTGAACTGCTTTTAATGAAGCTCATTTGAGCTGACTTGTGACAAGCACACCAAGAGAGGAGGCCAAGGAAACAGCACCGAGTCCTTCGAGATTAGGCTTTGTAACCTGCATACACCAATGTCTTACTTGTTTATGTTGCTGCCTTCCTTCAGGCGTTCTCCTGCAGCTCCAGTTTTGGACACTCTCTCACTCCCAGCCAAATCCACCAGGCTGACCTTGCTGACCTTCTCTCCAGAATTCTGCACAGATGGGACATGGGAGAACAACGGCTAAGAAACACTGGCAAGAAGCACTAACATGTCTGACACTGGCACCATAACACCATTCTTCACAATAATGTGGGTTAAAGTATCAAATTCAACATATGACAGAAGAAGGAACTGTCAGAGTTTGTATATGACAGAAGAAGGAACTGTCAGAGTTTTTACAGCACTTTAAAAGTCACCCATCTATTTTATAGTAAAGGCCTGAAGCACTAAGTAACCAGAATCAGTTGTGTGGTAACATCAACAACCTTACTGGTAGAGCAGCCCATTAAAACGCATCAACTTCAGCAACAGTTAAGACTTAAGAAATTTTCATGGTGGCAATATAATCTTAAAAAGTGGCCCAACTGTTTACTTTATCTGGTGTGCTTCCTCACTCTTCCAGGGTTCTCTCAGTTTTGATTACTAGACCCCATGGCATCAAAGGTTGAAACACAGCTAAACAGATAATATATGAGGAAGAGAACGGAAGCAGAAAAATCCACCACAACTTCATAAATTAATCAACAGAAATACATACACCAGACTGCAGGTCATAAAGTGTCTGAGTCACTATAATATTGAATACAGCATGAGAGCGGCTGCTTTCTTCATTCATGTTGGTTGCAGCAACTGTTCGTGATTTGTTTCCCTCCGACATCAGTGACTCAATATCCTAGAGCAAAGAGAGTAAAAAATGATGCTAAGATAAAAGCAAGTGTTGTGCTTGCTGAACAAAATCCCCATCTAGATGGAAGGGTGTGTACACATGGGAGAGAGGAAGCAGGGAAGGTAGAAGTCGTAAGAATTTTTTTGGCACGCCCCATCTAGATGGAAGGGTGTGTACACGTGGGATAGAGGAAGCAGGGAAGGTAGAAGTCATAAGAATTTTTTTGGCACATTGAGATGTATTGGTACAAAGGGTATGGAAGTCCACAGAATGTGTTAAATCACATCTCTGTTTTAAGTGCTGCACTTAAAAGCCCAGCAACTACAGCCAATGCACCTTCTCCTTATCTGCTGCTGAAACAGGCTGGCAACATCCACACTACAAATCACATTGTTTAATGCCAGTAATCAGGCCAGCACAGATCTACTTACACAAGTGAACACAGGGCATCTCTTTACTGAAGTGCACTAATACTATCTTCACTTAATTGGCTCAGAAGGTTACCTCACTTGAGCCTGTACCTTCCCACATGTCTAAAACACAGATAACTATGCCAAGTCTGATATATGTACTTGCTGAGCCTTCCAACACAGCTTCAGAAGTCATCAGCCAAAATGCATGAACACTTACTAAAATTTGAACAAAGATGTGTTTCCAAAGTACACAATCCACCACAGAAGCTGCAAAAGCAGTTTTTATGCACAGAAGCTTCAGAAAAATAAAAATCCTCATAAAAGAGCAAAACGGGTTCCACATCATACTACACAGAGAATAAACATTTTTAAAAAACATTTCCAAATCAGTTTCCTCATAAAAAGAAAGGCCTATGCACTTCATAAAACTGCACTGCTTTAATTATTTCCATTGTGGCTATAGTAGTTCATTGGCTTCTGCAATACTGATTTATTTGAATGTCTTTTGGCAAATCAAGTGGGCTGAGATGCTGTTGTGATCCAAGTTATGAATTATGTAAGCCATGTTGTAGGTCCACATACCACACTAGTTTCCTCATAAAAAGAAAGGCCTATGCACTTCATAAAACTGCACTGCTTTAATTATTTCCATTGTGGCTATAGTAGTTCATTGGCTTCTGCAATACTGATTTATTTGAATGTCTTTTGGCAAATCAAGTGGGCTGAGATGCTGTTGTGATCCAAGTTATGAATTATGTAAGCCATGTTGTAGGTCCACATACCACACTACTATATAAATGAATTATGTAAGCCATGTTGTAGGTCCTCATGCCACACTCCTATATAAAGTAAGAGGCTCTATTCAACAATAACATTAAAAGAATTCATGCTGGAAGACTACTCTTGTTTTAGAAGTCTCACATTTTCTGTGTCAAGCAAACATTGTGTTCTTGGTGTATACCTATATGCATGGAAAACTACAAAATAATGAGATACCACTATTGCATTTTTAACTAACATAAAGGCAAATTCAGTGCTTCTACATGAAATAAATACTCCCAAAGCATTAGAGAAGATCTTTGTAATTGCCTGAGACCATAATCACTTGAGAACCAAAATATCTGGATAGACACCAGTTTACCTCTTGCAAGATTCCTACTGCTTGTGTATATAGTGTTATTTATACACTTGTCACTGGATTAGATTTACCTCAAAGTTTGTAACAGCCAGCTGAGACAAGCCATCAACATATGGTCCCAACACTTTGTGCTCTCGAACCTTAAGGGACTGCCGACTTCTACGGAATAAAGTAAGACTTAATGCACCATCCACTAATTATCATGGATATCCAAAAATTACTGTACAAAGTAAGTATCTTTTATGTAGCAAAAGTCAATTTATGTCTTTTTTAGTTGCAATAGGAGGAAAAACATATTCCAAAATTTGTAACTCAAAGAAGCAATAAAGACTCAAACCAATCTAACCAGTTTTACTCTCTATACGTGGATTATTTTTAATGCACCCTCCCACCTCAGTATTTGTGGCTGGAAAAAAACCTGAAATTACTTATTTGGCTGAGGAAAAAAAGCAAACTAAAAGTCCTAACACCCTCCCCACAGCATTTTGGTAAAGATTCAGTTCTTGCATTTTCCACACTTTATTGACACATATTAAGTCTCAAATCTACTTTTTAACTAACTTGCATACCTCTTCACCTATTGCGATTATGGTCAAGAATCTAAATATATATCACATATATCAATGCTCAACTGAAAAAAAATCCAATCAACCTGATGTATACACATGTCCAAGCCAGAGATCCTAGTATTTCTATGCAAACAAAACAGAAGAATGCCTGCGTGTGTTCTGAGGTGTTACCCTTCCACATTCAAAAAAATTCAACACCTTAATCATGAGGAACAAGTTGTAAATAAGCTTCAAATTCCTTCCAGTTGATGAAAATTATTACCCAAATACTGTCTGGATCATATAGCAAAAATAACTCAGAATTTACTTGCACTTAGTCTTGCTTTCTGGTGATAAACTGCTTCACACAGAATTTGCTTGTATTAGGATGGTATTCCTAATGTGTAAATTGATCCATGGCAGTTACTGCTTCATATGCAAGCTTTGCATGGAAATTCTCTTCCTTCTGGTGTTTGGTATCTAATCCTCTCTAAAGAAGTCATATAAACACTCATTATGAAAAATCCTTCTCAGGGACTTCCAAAACTGATTTCTACTTTTACAGCTTCAGACAAAAATAAGGAAGGCTGTGGGGGAGAGTGAAACTACTCACCCTTTTGGGTCAAGCAGATCTCTGACTTTCTCATTGTAGATTTCCATATAGGACACTTCGACTTTAAAAGTATGAGATTCATTTTCTTCCACAGAGATTCTCTGAAATAAAGCACAACAGAGCCGTGGGATCAGACCCAGCTGCTCTGCATTGCCCATCATTGAAAAGGATTTTCCTGAACCTAAAGGAAAGAAAAGGAAAAGAAAATGTTTTAGAATGTAATTTTTGAACTACTCATTGGTTCAAGAAGCACATGTTTTTATTCTTTTTTTATTGCTCCAGAAGTATCAGAAGAATATGACATGCTATTCCAGACAGATAGCTTCCTTTTTGGACTACAAGGCATAGGCAAACAAGA